GAGTAAGAAAAGGAAAAGGGACAGAAAATTTGTGGCCGACATTGGTTGCGTCTACGGTTGCGGTTGTGACTGCGGTCGTGACTCCGTGAGTCTGCACCTTCAACTTCAAGGAGATAGAGAACGACTATTTGAGATCACGATGAGACAAGTATGATGAAAAATAAAAATAAACAAAAAAAAAAGGTAAAGGGAACTCATCAAAATCGGTAACTCATAAATTCACAATTTTAACTTCCCTTTCCTTTGCTGTCGTTTTTTGTTTTTTCTACTAGTGAGATTAGAAGAAAATAAAATACTTCGTACTTGATAAGAAAAAAAATGATTGAGCATAGGTCTTACAGCCAAGTGTTACCTAATATCAATGTATTATAATAAAGTGTTATCTAATATTAAAGTGTTACAAAAAATGTTACTTAATACCACAATGTTACAAAAGTGTTACGTAAAAATCAAACAACCATAAAATTTTTAAAGTGTTACCTATGGGTGTTACTTAAGCCCAATTTTGTAGTAATGCAACTACTTTTAAGATAAAAATCGTCGTTTTAGATATTCCTTGATACATTCCTTTTCATCCAACTAGAAAAATTTTCCATAGCCAATGCATGCAATCAGTTGCTGCCCAAAATGCTAGGGAAGCCTATGTCCTCCCCTTCTCTAAAGAGATATAAGATATTTTCCAATGTTGGCTTGCAAATGGTACTCAGTTACAAATTCAACAATTATTGACAAATTGTCCAAGGCATTCTCTAGCTAACATCGTATGGCTATATGCATTTCGAAGGGGTGAAGCACCAAGACGCATGGTACATCTAGGTGTTGTTGAAATTAGCGGATAGTTTCACTTAATGTGTTGAAAATGCGAAGGAAAAGGGGTCTTCGCATACGAAACCTCCTTTGGAAAGTAATCTACAACTAAATTGTCTTGAGGTGCTTCACAATTTCTTGGCACAATTACCTTTCGCTTTCTTTAATTTGATGTTTTTGTTCATCTTTCTGTACTAAATTGTTGTAAGCAACAAGTACTGCATTTTGCATTACTTGTAATCAATGACTCTCTTTGACAAAATCCATGACAATGTGATCATAGATTTCATTAGTTGAACTTGAAGATGAAGAATAAGAACTTAAAGTGTTAGAATCAAAGTTCATATGCTGTTTATTACCAAATAATGTTTAAGATAGATGTTTTTTTTTTGAGGGAAATAGAAGATTGATATTAATAGATGTAATGTTATTGAAAGTACTAGTGGCGGAGCCAGAATTTTAAATTGGGGGGACAAATAAACATCACTTAGTTTGCGAAAAATGTTAGAATGTACATATACTTGTATGAATGGTTAAAGTTTAATTTTGCACCCGAAAAAATTCAAAATACAGAGTACTTAGTTGAAAATTCGGCATCATATACCAAAATTTCCTCCATAAACGCGTTTGATTATGGGTTCAAAATATTTGAAAAATTGTAAAGTAAATAATATAACTAAATAATGAAGTACTTATCATAATTTCCTCTCACAATAAAGAAAAATTGAAATGCATGCAGTAGGAATTAAACTTCAAAAATAATAATTATGAAGTGCTTAAAGGGAGTCGTTCCCGCATCCACAAACCCACAAGTACCTATAGCTGATTCAATGACCACTACAACATTTGCTATATGAACTAAGATATCATGCACAAAAAAATATATTTAAACTAATTTTTTAAATGAGTGAGGGGACAGCTGTCCTCCCTTGTCCCATGCGCCAGTGGAAAGTACTCTTATGACTTTTATAGAAAAAAAAAATAGGAGAAGGTTAGTTAGAAGATAAGATTTCTAATAATAAGGATATGTGGTTATAAAATAAGGTTAGTCATAAGATAAGATTTCCGATAAGGATATGTGGTCATATAATAAGGTTAGTCTAAAGATAAGATTTCTAATAAGGATTTGTGGTCATAAAATAAGGTAAGTTAGAAGATTATATTTCTAATAAGGATATGTGGTTATAAAACAAGGTTAATTAGTAGAACATAGGATTTTGGTTAGAATTGTAAACCATGGTTTGTCAATTGGAAATAGACAAATCTTTTCCGATGAATTTGAACATAATGCATATGATTATAAACTTACAATTTTATCACAATAATATAATTTAGCATAAACAAACGTTAACAAGAACTAGTATGAATAAACGTCATATTAATTCATAGAAATTACACTTGTATTAAAATGGTACGATGACAATAATAATATGACGCTTGTCACAGTCGCTTTGGGTCGACCTAGGCAAGACCATCGACTACCTTGCATAGGCGCGAAAGGCCTTCGGGATCTCACTTGCCTACGTGACCGAGTGCATGCTCGGTTCAAGAAGAACAAGCCAAGTAAAGTTAAGGTAGCTCACAAACCATGTCTAAGGCTTGTGAGGTTATAGGGTTACCCCCAAGTGCTTAGGTCGTGCTGCTAGAAAGGGCTTGATCAGCTAGGCCTTGGGCCTATGGCTAGCGCGCCCACACGCGCACCAAAAGAACTCGGAGTGTTTGGATGAGCAAAACTCCATAACAACTTTTGGTATTAATTGAGGGGACTTATTAGGATGGTTTATGGGGACTACAATACACTTGGATGGCTATGGTGGACACTCGATAGGACAAATCGACTCGGTAGTCTCGACTAGGGAAGATGCGGGTGACTAGTAGGGACCTATGGCTTAGTATGGTGCATGCTAGCTCGACGGTGCGTGGTTTGACAAAGGGATGCTCTTGGGGTCATGTGAAGGTGTTTCTATGGTCCACTATATGGTAGAGACCGTGGGGGCTCCTACATGGGAGGATCAAGTGCGATCCGGGTCAACGATGATTGTGGTGAATCCATGGGCTTGCGTAGCCAAGATCTGGATGTTAAGGAAAAGTCTTGGCTAGTAGAATGGTCTAACTAAAGCTTCACTCAGTGTGCTATTTATAGTAGGGACTCCTTGACGATTAAGCTAAGTCATCGTGAGTGACTGGCATGTGGTTGCCCTGATTATAGGGATTGGCTAAGTAGTGGGGCTAGTGGGTGGTTGAGGTAACGGTTATCATGATCGGGACTTTGACCGAGGTCAAACGGGAACGCGGTTAAGCCATTACTAAGGTAGTTCCTAAAATAGGAACACCAAAGTAGTGGCGGTGTGGGTAGTTATTCTGAGAGAATGATGATGTCACGTCATATGGAAGTTACACCACTCACTTAGTGTCCTAGAAAATAGGAACACTAAGGGAGAGTGGGCACACTAATCAGGCGGTTGAGCACCACATAAGCACACTGATACATATCTCCAAAACTCTAGGAGCATGGCAGAGTGGGGCTTGACGGTTACCAAGCAGTTTTGGAATCATGCTGGACATTGATAACTCCCTTTGGTACATGGACAAGTCCACATGCATCCAAGTAACCAAGCAAGTAGTGGGAAGTTACTAGATCATGGGTGTAGTGGGCATTGTGGGTAGTCATCCTAGCTGACTGAGAATAATAGATGTAGTAAGTTCCTATAAGGAAGCCGAGGCATTCATTTGCTGGTAGTGAATTTTTGGGAGCTCTAGAGAGAGAAACTCCTTGTATTTGTAAGCCACGAAAATAATAAAGTGTTCATACTAGGGTTGGTGCTTTGTCTCTTGCTTGTGTGCGTGTTTCCTTGTTCTTTGAGTGTTAGATTGGTCTAGACTTGGTATAGGCGTCATCGTGGGAACCTCTTAGGTCCCTAACTTAGAAAAAAAAAAAAAAGTTAGTCCACAAAATTTCTTGTGTTCCACTCAAAATTGCGCATCAAGATGAGACCTCCTCCTTATTATTCTGGAAAACCAACATGGTCCATGACCAACCCAACAACTAGAAAGCTGACAATCACTCGGGACATTCACAATGGGGTGTCGGTCAAGGTTAGTGCTAACAAGCCTCCTCACCGAGAGTATGTTGCTAGTGTGCAGGGCTCCTTTGTGCCTCCTGTAAGGACAAGCATCCCTTAGCCTACAAGGGAGTTAGAGGATCTACTTGATAATGATCCCTTGTGTTAGAGAATTGAGAGTATTTAATTGATTATTATTCATGTTATGTTAAGTTTAAGTCATTTGGTTAAGAGGTCATGACTTAGACAACATATGATTAAGGTGATAATATACAGTTGGGTAAGAGAAAGGAAGAAATTGGCTAATTCGTCATTAATTATGTTGCAACCGCTTCATAAGATTTCGATTTCGGTATCTCTTGCATTAGTATGGCAATTCTTGATGCATTATAACTTATGTATCAATTGATGACTAATGCATTTTTTAATGCGCATGTCTTAATACATTGTTTAAGACATGTCTTAATGCATTGTTTCAGTTTCATATCTCTTGATAACATTTGGCGGTTAATACATTGTTACTTAATGCATGTCTTAATGCATTGTTTAATTTATGTTTTATGACATTGTTCAATGCACGACATAAAACATTATTTTAATGCATGAATAATGCATTGTTACGTTTGGTAAAATGTAATGTCATAATACTATCTTATATATATGAGAAACTCCTCATATGATGAATGAAGATTGAGTGATGAAATATAATTTCTATTTTATCAATTTGGCATAGAGAGTTATTATCAGTTGTTCATTTTCACAAAATCGCAAACACTTTTATACATTGAATTGCAATAATCCTACAAGTTATTGTAATTGTTCTTCGTTGTATCTCCTGAGTAATTTCTGTGATAACTGGTTGTAATATAGGGTCAGAATTATACTTTTGGAAAAGCGATCCCGTTCACAACTTGAAGGTTATACCAATAGTTTAATTTCCATTTCTTTGTGACCTTTGTGTACTAGAAAATCCCCAACACCTTGTATGTTAGGGTAATGACTTACCTAGGAGACTTGGCGGGTGAAGTGCTATACTCTAGCGACCCTTGGTTGTCTCTCAACCAACTCAAGTCCCTTATGAATGCATTTTAAATCAATATCTAAGATATACTTGAACCAGCCGAAGCCTCGTGGTATAAGAATATGTTACAAGATAAAACTTGAAAGAAATTGTGGATAAACATTGTAATGAATCGTAGCAAGGATAGCTAGTCCAGTGCATTTTGCCCCAACTAGTAAAGGAAGAGGGCATTTGCACCAACAATAATCTGTACTTTCACTTGTGAAAGAAAATAGAGAGTGAAAGCAAATATCAATTGGGATTTGGACTAATAGAATAAAACTTCCGAATTACATTTGGAACACCTGTATTGATAATGTACAACAGAAACCGCTACACTTCCATTACGGATGCAGTTCGTTATGTAAAGATATAGACCTCATCATATCCTTTCCTGTTACAAAACAAAAGAATTAGTAAAAGCTTTTTGCTAACTGGAAACAAAAGTGTAATATACTACAGGAGCTTACCCTTGCTTGCCACAGTATGTAGGACTGAAATTGTATATGAGATTGTTGAGCACATCCTGCGCAGGTGGCCTGTTAGGAGATTTCCTTGCCTCACTGCAAAAAGAATTAGGCGAAGCATGATGGTGGAGCCATTTGGCGACACAAGGCATCACTAGATAATTTCTATTGATGGAGAAGGATAACTGAAATTATAGCATGGTATCCGTAACAACAGGTAATGGAGATTACTGTTGGGACTAATTCACCAAGAGTGCAGTCATGTGGATGATGTAAGAACAAAAAAAAAAAAAAAAGACAATTTTTAATTCAACATTTTATGTGAATAGCATGTTAGGCGTCGAAATTGTCAGGTATCAGAATGCATATGCAGTTAGATGGCTTAGATCTAGTGCAGATTAACTAATGCATGGACTTAGGCAAGCAATCCATAATACAGAATTTAATGAGAGATTATCTGCTCTCTTTGCAAGCCACATTCCAGAGGACTCCCATCTCATTATATCCATCTCATCAGAGATCTTCAGTTGATCAATTATATGAAGGGAAGCATGGGAGCATACTTTTCCCTTCTGTTATCGTGGAGTCTCCTGGATTCTTCCTAATTGGACCTTAAAAAGGTCGACTCTCCTTCAAAGACGAAGAAATCCACACTAGGCTGAGATCAAGATGGACTAACATGCAATTTAAATACTATGTACAAGTCTGGGAATCTCATTTGAACTATATCTCCTCTAGGATAATCCAATTGGCCAATCGGAAACCAACCTGTGTAAGTGGCTGAAGCACGTATTCATACCATATTAAAAAAAAAAAAAAAAAAAAAAAAAAAAAAAAAAAAAAAAAAAACCTCCCTTTCATTTAGTAACCCTTCTTTTTCTACATTTCACCCCCTTTCAACTTGATAATGAAACTAGTTTTGTGCCCGTGCGATACCCGGGTTGTTTATTGAATTTTAAGATAAATTATTCATCTATATGTCAAATTTTAAAATATATCATAAATACAAACTTAGTTAGGAATTGATGTGTTTTTGTGACGATTTGCTATCTAGTAGGCATGTAATGACTAATAATAATATTGGTGGAAATGTTCGATTTAATTTAATACATTAAAAAAAATCAGCAAAAATAAATTAAATAAACTAAATATTCAAAGTCCGTTGGGTTGACCCGAACCCAAAACTTAAGGCAAAGGTTGAACATTTCTTGACTCATAACCAAAAGTGACCCAATCCGAGATGACGCATAACCCGACCCTAATTGACAGGTCTACAGAGTAATAAAACTCTATTGGATTGTGAAGTAAATTATTTTAACCGATTAGTATATATAATAAATGGATGTTTTACGCTTTAAACTACTTCGTTCACTCAAAAAATATTATGATATAAAAAATAAATTTTTATGATAATTTTTATAAGGTTAATTTTTAAATTACCACCCAAAAATGTAACCATTTTCAAACTAACCATCCGTTTAATTTTTTATTTTAAATTACCACCCCTTAAATTAAATAAATGCTCAGATTAACACCCATTTCAAAAATGGTTGATTTTCCGTCTGTAGGCCCTACCTAACACTTTGACCTTTTTGACTGATTTTTTTCCATGATTTTTCTCTTTAAAAACACTTTCTATACTTTAATTCACATTTACTTCACCAAATTCTACCAAATTTCAAAGAGAAAAACGTGAATTGAAGTTAGGAGAGCGTTTTTAAAGAGAAAAATTGGGATAAAAAATCAGTCAAGAGGGTCAAAATAAGCGTTACGTGGGGTCCACGGACAGAAAATCCACCGGATTTTTAAAATGGGTGGTAATCTGAGTATTTATTTAATTTAAAGGGTGATAATTTAAAATAAAAAATTAAACGGGTGGTTAGTTCGAAAATGGTTACATTTTTGGGTGGTAATTTAAAAATTTTCCTTTTTATAATTATAATTTAATAATTTTTTGAATAAAATTATAATTCATTTGAAATATTGACATTTTATCAAAAATAATACTCTAAACTAACAATTTTATCCTAAAATTATATTTAAATAGAATTCTAAACTAACTTTTTTCTTTTATTTTTAATATCTTGTAAAATCTATTTAAATCTATCCAACGTGGTGCGACACTTGGCGAAAAGTTGCAACGCCAAGTGCCACTGCCTCGTTACTTGGCTAAAAGTTTAGCTTTATATGTTAGTTATATAATGCTTCCCACCCAACAATCAAAAGACAAACTAACATTAAAGATGCATACCTCTGAAAATCAAGATAATTGATTCAACAACAATAAGAGAAACGATCAAAATTAGCATGTTCCTTGTCAAGGAGATATATATTGCTCAAATGCTGCCCAATTAAGATGGTTATGATGTTTCAGCAATTACCTGATAAAAAAATTAGCAACATTCTGAGTAACTTGAACCGCATCTTCTGAATGGGGAATCATTGCATAGCCCCATTCAAATGCATTTTTCTGCAATCAGTAGTATTATAATAAATGATTGGCAAATAAGAGAAATATTCATTAACAATAACAAATAAGCCGATACCTTATTACTTACACTATTCTATTTAAGATGCATCAGCAATTTTCTTTTTCATTCTTTAATTCTGAGCTTTTGGGAAAATCCAAAGCAGGGTTAGACAAGAAGTAAATTTAAACAATCTTACCCTATCATTCAACATATATTTGGGTAGTTTCTCTTCACTTGAATCCATTCATCTTCTCTTATCTAAATTCTATTACCTAATACAAGCTACCAAACCCCATACATTTGCTAATAATTTTTATAGATCAATTATCATATCCTTTCAAAAACAACACAATAAATTCCACAAGCAACGAGTTCCACAATCAACGAGTTTGAAAAGCAGAACTACAATAACAGAATTATAACCCGTGCATAGGGATGGCAGTGCGGACCCTACCCTAAAATACGAGTATGGGTCTTATTTGTTTAAACCCTATGAGTACAGGTAGGGTATGGGTCTAGGTGGCATAGGGTAGGGTAAGGGTCCGGCCGTCTAGGTATATAGTTTTTAGACCCAAATCATACCTAGACCCTACCTACGAAACTTTAAAACCCATAACCTACCCAGACTCATATATAGACCCACACAATATATTAACTTAGAACGAGATTCAAAATATATATATAAAAAAATACTTAAGGGTCTTGATTTTGTAGGATGTTGATGATGAAATCGAGTATGATACAAAAAACGACTACAAAATAGAAGTCTATTAACTTTGTAGTCGTGCACTTAATTTTATGAGACTTTAAATTGTAATGTGATTATGGATTAATTTGTTTATCTATTATTCTAAATTATCTTTTACTTATCTGTTTGCTGATATTTCAAATTAATCTATAGTAATAAGATGATACCCCAAAGACTTTTGAATATTCTGCACAATTTCATCTTTGAATATGCCATTAGAGAGGCTGCCGAATATACAAAAATTATTTTGCATAACACTATTCTAGCACTAACCAATAAAGCTAGTCACAAAAGTTCACACTATTCTAGCAAGGGCATAGTAGGTAAAATTCTACACAAACATCCCCCAGGTTTTTTTGGACATGGGCAGTCTCGTTAGATGTAGACATGTGTCCACCATAATGTTGGTCCAAAAAATGAAGTGTATTGAGTCCACACATGTTAGAGTGTCGAGGATCAACTTGAGTACTAGAGGAAGTGAAAAGTCTAAAAAAGTGGGGCCATAACTCCAACTAATGTAGATTTTAAATCGCATATGGGATCAGGTGGTTTTCTAATAATTCATATCGGATACAAACAGCAGCTCTCTTCAGTCCTCAAGTATGCTATAAATTTTTTTCTGACCGTGTAAGCATTGTTTGGTGACTTAGCTCTTTCAAGTTTGCTGATCATCTTATAAGTTGTACTGTTGCTATGATCTCTATAGATATGTATATTCATGGGTTTAAATTTAAAAGGATTAGGGGTAGGGGTAGGGGTAGGGGGGACAAAATGACAGAAACTGTTCATTAATGCACGTAGAGCCAGAGAGACAGTTAATAAAAGATTTACCTCCGGATGCCACTGGAAACCAGTGATAGGGTAGTGCTGTGCTTTTGCGGTTGAGACATATACCTGAATTGTAAAGAAGCTATGAGGCCTCTAAACACAAAAAACTCAAAAAGAAAGTGTAGTTAATCATCACTGAATCAATGCTAGAAAGTCGCACCTTATCATCTCTGTCAGTGCTAGTTGTTATAATATCAAAAAAATTTGATAAGAGTTGATTCCCTTGAAGTGTTTCAGGTGATATACCAAACTGTTGCATTGCAGAAGCAAATCAATGGAAAAGATATTCAAAAGAACTGCATGGGCATTACTAGGATCAAAAGGTGAAAAGGAAATAAAGGTGCAACGAAAGACTATGAAACAAATAAGAAAGAGAGTGCATATTGACAGCAAGCATAAGTATCCATAACTTGAGTGATCCTTGTCATCATTTTAGAAACTCTTATGCAACAGTCCTTAATAGCTTTAATCTTTACATTCAACACACTCATAGTGTACACAAATTAGAGACTATAGTCCTCACCTTAGATAGGAAAATAAAACTTGCTTATGGCCTCATACTTGCCTCTGAGAGGTCATAAACACATATCTCAGACACTAAATTCCATTAACAACACATGCATTCTAAACCAAAGGTAATTTTGGAAAAAAAAAGAGTTTTAATGAGCTCTAAGGATCATAATTAAAATGATACCAATGACGGTAATTGATACACAAAATGATTGATGTTGGTTTAATAGAAAAGGAAGTGTGAAGTTATTTTGAAACATCCATATACAACAACAAAACCTTAGTCCGAAAATAATTTGGGGTCGGCTACCATGAATCGTCATAGGAAACCATCAAAATAAGTTCAAAATTGTGAGGGGGTATACTTGCATGAGACCTCTTCTTAACCAAATCCTAATACATTCGTAAACTCATTATGAATTCAAGCCATGGGATGAGCCGATGAGTTGTGTTATTATCTCTCCTAAGGTGATTCAACTCACACCAAAAAAAAAAAGAAAAAAAAAAAAACAACTTGAAAATTAACTTTGCTGCCAAGCTACCAATGTGCCATATTTTTTATTTTATTTATTTTTTTAAAAAAATATAGAACTTGTATGATCTCATTAATCATTATTCTTTTTTTACTAGTTCTCATTATTATCTAATTTCATATCTTAGATCAAAATTCAATCAAACTAGCATTAAAAAAGAGGTTTTGTTGTCAAATAAAGATGAAACAGCAGTTGCCAGTTTGCCACATAGCAAATTCTGCTTTATTTATGATAGATTCAATTTGTCATTGCTTATTGTGAGCAATGTTACACACACTCAAGTACTTGTGTGGGACACGAATATGTCCCCAAATGTTCAATAGCTCTGGCATGGCTATTTTGGGATATTAACGAATATTTATACCAGAATGAAGTGTCCAAGTGTCTATACACCTATCGGTATATCAAAGATCTGATATGGGTACTTAATGTCAGACGAAGAGTCAAACAAATAAAATTGTGAGCTTATCTAACACTATAGGTGCCAAGCTAAACACCTAGAATTTATCAGAAGAAATTGAATGGAAAAGCTAATAACTTTGAAAGTACACTTCATATTACCATAGAACAAAGAAGTCATTTGCAGTAGCATTTACAACACATTTTTCTATACATTAAATAAACTAAGCACAGAAGTCAAAACACTTGGAATTCAGAGAGACGATACTAAAAAAAAGGGAATGAAGCCAAATATATACTACCCATGTCACTCAAAGATCTGGTCTCCAGTAGACATATAATACGACGTTGTAACTTCCCAGTTGTCCAAATTATACAGAGAAGATACAGTGCCTAGCAATCAATAGCAATTGAAGATGCATAATTTCCAAATAGACATCTAAACATAGTACTTCCACTGTTTTGAGTTCTACTACTTTCCATTTTCATTTGTTTTTTTAAGTTCTAGTTACTTTTACCTTATTCCTTCTATGACGGCCTTTTATTGTTATACTACCTCCGTTTCATTTTTTTTGCAACTTTGGCCATTATTTGTGAGATATAAAATATTCCAAAGTTGCAAAAAACATGAAACGGAGGTAGTATATCATATACCCAGTTTTTACCCACCTTGTGAGGCCCGAACGTATCTAATAAATCCTTTAACTCTGTATCTCACCCACATGAATTGTACTCATTTCCACTTTTGTTAGGTTTGCATAGCGACTGAGTACTCAGGTAATCAGATTATAATTTATAAGAACACAAACCACAAGCAACATGTGTCTCTCTTCCTTCCTCCTTCCTCTTTCATTTAAGCTCTTCAATTTTCGCAAGAGAAAAGCATTATATTTATTATAAAAAAAAAAAAACACATATTTTTCCAGTTTTAATAATATATTAACAGCTTTTACATCACATGGGGCAAAATCCTAGTTCAATTTTCAAATAGCAAAGCCACGTAAAGTAAACATAAAAGCTGGAATGGAGCTTCAGCATCAATAAGTATCATATTATTAATAGCGATGGCAATACTTACTTTATGGTTTTGCATTACAAGGCAATCTGTGCTTAACTTCCTCAGCAATTCAGGAGGAAAACTGCAACAACAAAAGAGATTAAACAGGGTTGGTACTCCAATAATTTAACGCAATTCAGATAGGAACTTTTAGTCTATGCCCCCATCTCAACTAAGCTCTTTAAATACCCAACCACTAGATGCAATTGATGACCAAGCAAGGTAACGGTCACTTGGTAAGGTTCTGAACTTCTTACCACAGATCCTAGAGGTTTGAGGTTCGAATCTTGTCAAGTCAGGGTGGTTAACCTGAAATTGACTTGGCTTCGCCAAAAGGCTTGGGGGATCCTCTACTCCCAAATGTAAGACGGTGCAGGAAATGAGCTAGAATTTAGAGGTAAAAGTCTCCAAGTTAATAATATAAGTCTTTGTCACATCAAATTTATTTTAATGACTTAATATGTACTTCAAATTTACACTAACATGATAAATGCTAATACATAAGAGAAAATGAAAGAAAAAACAACACGATTAATGATGTCTCCTTTTGTTTTCTACACCCGAAGTATATAATGACTATCATAAAGAAGTCATGATTCCATTATCATTCATAATGTTAAACCTTGAAAAATTAAAAGGCAAAAAAAAGATTAAGCAGTCAAATTTCACCTTAAAAAATCAGAAATAGAATTCTTATACACGGTCAAATACAAAAATTGCGTCATGTTAGTGTTGAGAATTTCCACATTACAGAAAAAAGGGTGGTGTAACATGTATATTGAGTATACCTCTGGAAAACAGTTCCTTTTACGCCAATATTGTTGACAAACTGAAGAGTAGAAGGCTGCAAACTTGCACCGTAATGTTCAAGGATATTGTTGTCCTATAGTATAAATATCGAAAAATAAGGAGGATATTTGACCAAAAAAATTTCAACATGCTTCAGTTAATATATACTAGCGAATGTTTGATTTAGGACTGAATCAAAGTAATACTTCATAGTACATACTAGTGGCTGTATGAATGACCTATAGAAACCATTCTTGCACATAGATATATATATATCGGTTGCATCGCAACAGCATTGGACAGAATATTAAGCCGACTCCGACCGAATTATTAGGCCACAACACCCACTTACCACCCGTATTTCCCTAAAAGTTGATTCCATGACCATTGTCAGTAAAGGGATTACATCCCATAATTAAAACCATGCTATTATGGAAACAATAGGACCAACAAATTGATTCATAGTTAATAATTATAATTCATCTTGTTGTCTGAAAGTTTTGAAGGTGAACAAAAAGTTATATTCTGACTAAGGTACATAGTCAGCCATAGTTACATTTCCAAGTGTTAGACTCAGCTTTTCTTTTCCCTTTTTTTACAAAAAAGTTTCCTTGATTTTGTACATAATGAAGTGTCAAGTGTCCTTACCCACGATGACATGTTGAGTATCTAACATGGGTACTTGAGGTAAAATGAAAAGTCTGAGTCACATAATATAAGGAGGATATGCATTTTCTTCCAAGCTTTAAAATTATTAATATGAGATAACATAATGTAATGGTTACTAAGGCGGATGTTCTAGGAGAATGAAATATAGCTCGCAAGAAAAAATATTAAAAAGAGTGCTGGTAATTTGCAGCTGAATCACCTTACTGACGATCATTGTAAGAAGCTCAAAACCCAGGCAGATTGCATAACAAGGAAAATACTGCCCTGCATCATTCTTCTCCAGCACTTTCTGCAGAATCCAGATAACAGAACCTACTGAACAAACCAAAATGCAGCTTACATAGAAATAATCAATTTAGAATGGATAGTGAAATGAAAGTAATTCGACTTATTCTAAGTCCCTTGGAGCAGCCAATATTTGTATCGCTGTTTTCTGAATTTTACTAATGCTTGATAGTCAATATTAATAGGCCACTCAATCTAGTTGATATTTTCACTCTTTCACATATGCATAGAGGAAAAATATTTACCTAAATAACTCATAACAATAATCTGCAGTGCGTTTAAATACACAGAACGCATTTCCCCCCTAATTATGTTACATTAGTCCAGTAATGTTCCACTTTACCAGAATGTGTGTTCTAATACATGTGTTCCCAAAACGCAAGTCGCTGGCAGTAACCGGAGTATTAGGTAACACTGGGAAGACATTCAAGGACAACATAATACACAAACTAAGAAAAGTCTCTCAAATTAGATGTTGGCTTCCAAACCAAACAGTAATGCTTTTAAAATGTCAGATCTGGTCCTTGGCTAGGATACTGAAGTATTAATAAAATGAGTTTTTTTTTTTTTTTTTTTTGGGGGGGGGGGGGGGGGGGGGGGGGGGGGGGGGGGGGGGGGGGGGGGGGGGGCATAACTAGATATCAAAGGAATAGAAGGTATGTTGTTATGGACTTGTGTAAATATAAAATTGAAGTTGATTTAGACACTCTCTTTGACCAACCATGTATTTTAATCCCATCTGCCCCTAACAACATCAAAAGCAGTTATACTCCAAAAACTGATGAGGCATTTAAAGTACCCATTCTTCAATCCTTTATCAGGCAGTGTGTGCTGCTATTTTCTTTTGAACCCCAAAAATTGAGTATTTTACAAAACAAAAGTAGGAAAGTGAGCAAATTGAAACAGTCATACACCAAGTAAAAACAAGTTGCTAACTATCTGCAACATTACTTGCACAAGGAGCAACCTTCCCATATGACAAAGAACATTAAAATGATACCATCATCACCATGAATAACTTGACAATGCATTGAGGCACGAGAATTCAAGATACTGGTTTGAATCTTATCTCAAGTTTCAGCTCGAAGAATTGTGGTCAGAAATCTTCCTACATTAATGGATCAATCTTTTCAACAGATCCTTTATCCATTATTCAAACTAATTAAACCTTACCTTTTTTTTTTTGGCTAAAATTAAATTAAATTAAAGCTTTCCTAAACTTAAGCTTCTTCAAACTCTTTTTTTTAGGCGAATGGAACAAATCGTTATAATGTCTAGTATAACATACTTTACCAGTTTATCGTGTAACAAACATCCAGAACTTATTTTCCCATAGAAACAAATACGAAACCAATGGACTGATGAAGAGAAGACAACAAACTAACTTCAGCTACATCACCAAACAACAAGAGAAGACAACAAACTAACTTCAGCTACATCACCAAACAACAAGAGAAGACAACAAACTAACTTCAGCTACATCACCAAACAACAAGAGTGTGTACGCGCGCACGGACATATATTCTTAAGTAGAAGACATAAAACGCCCCAAAAAACAATTAAGTGATCAATTCAGATTTCATACCTTAAATATCGCCTGCACAACATCAAAGTACAAACCTTTCTTGGCCCATCCACCAGTAAAAAGCACCCCATTCACTAACTCCAGTTTCTGCAGAAACGCAAATAGACAACATACATTAACCTAAAAAGAAATTATAAAATAAATAACGAATCACAAAATACCCAATAAATTTCCTAACAAACTTAAATTCCAAAATCATTAAATGGCACAAAACACTCCTCTTTTCCCAATAATTTTAGACAACTGGATAAGGATCAATATAAACATAGATAGCAAAATTAACATCAAATTAAATCACAATATCTAAAAAAAGTCAAAACATCCAGTAATAATAATCATCTAACTCCACAATCATCAAATAAAATACAGAAATTAAAAATTAAAAATAAATGAAACTCTTATCTCATAACAAGTCATTCCATCATATTCACCCCAATTATCCCCTTCGTTCCTAAAAGTTCTTCCTGTTTGGACGGGGCGACAAAAGAAATTAAACAAGAAGAACTTTTACGGTGTGTTTGGATTGAAGGAAATGAAGGAAAAGGAAGGGAAGAGAAATAGAGAGATGGAGTATCTTTCATTTGAATAGCAAATGAGGAAGGGAGGGAATTGGAGGGGAGAGAAATGGAAGGATTAAATTGTAGGAAATTGATCCCTCCAACAATGGAGAAATTTGGAAGGAAAACTCATCTTCTTCCCTCCCCTCCCTTTCCCTCCCCTCCTCTTCTCCTCCCTCCCCTTCTTTTCCTTCCCTTTTCTTTATCCAAACAAACCATTAGAGACGGAAAACATTAGTTATTTATCCAAACAAATGATCAAATTCATTCCACTTACATTCATGATAACATCAAGGGGGTCAGTATAAACAAGAGGAATAACTCTAGCACCAGCTGATTCAACAAACTTGACATAAGAAGCAGCAATGTAAGACACATTGGTACCATTCATAAGCCGACCCGAGGCGCCATCGCCGGGGTGGGAAACAATCCCAATAACAGGGCGGTGAAGATCAGGAGAGGAGCAACTATCAGAAGAATGAAAATGGTGGGGGTGAGATGATTTTGAAGGGGAAGAGAAATCTGGGTCAGTTGAAAGCATGATGTTGTTGTGGGAATTTGCAGAAGTAAAGGGGATGAAGAGTGAGGAAGATAGTAATGGAATCCATAGATACAACCAGAGGAATGAACGAAGAGGGGAGGAAGAAGAAGAAGATGATGATAGTAGCATGATTGAGTGGATTGATTGGAGATTAAATTATTGAAGATGAGATAACAAGGTACTTGTGTTAATTAATTGAGATTTTTAAAGGACTTGTGAAACGCATGGGAGGGAGGCCATGGTTTGAGGAATTATTTAATTAATTATTTTACTAGGTATTTGTTTTTAGGAAATTTTTGAAAATAACACCATCTTTTTTAAAAAAAAAATGGACTATAACACCTCCTTTTTTCGATTTTTTATTATAACACCATCTAATAAAATTAAATTATGAAATCACCACCAGAAAACGGATTTTGTGACGGAAATTGTGTATGGGTCCCACAGGTTAGCTTACCCTCCAAATTTTTGAGTTCTTGAATTCGATTTTCTCTCTCCATGTTTCATTACTCCCTCTCCCTCATTCATTACTCAACTACTCCCTCATCAATTTCTCAGTGATAAAGATTCAACCACCAAAACGGCGAATCAGAATCAAACCCTAGGATAATTTGTGTAGTAGGGAGAGTGAATTGCAAGGAGAGGTGTCAGTGTTTGAGCGAAACAACTCAACCATATTCGTCAGCCATTTTCGACCTACCTAAAGCTTGTACTTTTTTGGGTTTCTGACAGCGACAGGAAGAAGAATCTGAAAGAGGTACCACATGAAACTTGTATTTTACTTTAAATTTACTTTTGGTGCCAATTTTGCAATATTGATGTTCAGATTAGGGCTAATTTGGGGAAAAATGTCGCTGACTATAAAATAGTCAAACTTTTGTTTGAATTATTGTGAATTATGGGTAATTAGGGTTTAATTGGGTAATTTTGTTTATGTAGTGCTTCATTGAACTTAATTGTGTGATTTTTGTGTAATTGAAATCATTAGTTTGTTGCATAATTGAAATCATTAGTTTGTTGCATAGTTATCTGTATTTTACTTTAATTGAAAATTGATGTAAATCTGAATTGTTAATTATGTTGGAATTAGTGCTTGCTTTGTGGTTGTGCAACTAGGATATAATATGTTAACTTATGTTCCCTTTTGGTAGTTGTGTTGACTGTTTTTGCATTTCTTTATTGTCTAGATAATGGCCACAACAGATGGTGTGGTTGATATTGTTTTTAGAGTGGGGGATGCTTTTGTTCCCAAGAGAGTGCACAAAAAAAAGAGTTTAATTGTCTATTGTGGTGGGTTGTGTTATTGGAGGAGGGGTGTGAAAGTTAATAAGCTTGATGTGTCTTACATTAGGGAAGCTGCAATTGATGGTTTTGTCAACTTTAGTGTCAATGTGCCTACTCTTTACAGCTGTTGGTATAGGGAAAAAGGAAAAACCTTCAATACTCGGAAAAGGGAAATAGTCAATGAAGATGAAATTAGGGGACTTTTACAAACAGTTAATGGGCAAGGGTATGTTCGTTGAAGTGTTTGTGTCTTTAGATGAATCAGTGAGGCCCAATATTGTTGAGGCCCAACACACTCCAAATAAGGTTGTAGTGCCAAAGAGGAAGAGTGCATGTAAGAGTTTGCAGCTTAGGAGAAGCCCTAGAGTACATAAGACTGATGTACAAGAAAGTCAAAGGGAACAGAGCTCACCCAAACCTAGATCTACATTGCCTCCCACAAAGAACAAGGGAAAAGGGAAAGTAGATACTTGCAAAGGGTTGTCTGGAGCTTCTGGTAGTGGGAAGGATAAGGATAAGGGGAAAGGGAAGCTAGTTGGGAAAGAATTGTTGTTTGAGAGTGATAGTGATGATGACAGATCTGGGAGTGAGGAGTTTTCAAGTGATGATTGTAGTGATGTTGACATAAATTGGGAACCAACTGAAGAGGAGTATGATGATGGTGATGAGCAATGGTTTATACAAGATGCAGGGGTGATTCTTGAGGAGGTTGACAAGAAACTAACAAAGGGTTTACAGAAAGAAGGTGGGGGCCTTAGTGAGAACTTGGATGTTGCTAAGGTTCAGATTGAAGTAGAAGATGAAGGACATTCTGATGAGTTAAGAAGTTTAGGTGGTTCATCTGATGAAGAGGACCACAGTCCTGTTTTTAATAATAAGGTTGACTTCACCAAGGCTGTAAAACTGGTTCCAAAGTTGAAGTTCAAGGATGCTACTGTGTTGAGGAAAGCTTTAAGATTGCATGCCATTGAAAACAGGTATGAATTCTACTTCTTACATAATGACAGCACTAGGATCACTATTCAATGTAGGAATAGATGTGGCTGTCAGTTTAGTGCAAAGACAAGTAGGATTCCCCTTTGTACATGTGTAGGTGGAGTTAGGTGCAATTTCAAGGTGTATGCTAGGAAAATGCTTAGGCAAGAAACTTGGCAAATCAGAAGTCTGAGATTAGAGCATAACTGTATGAGGAGAAAGGACAACTGTAAGGTGACTTCAGAGTGGATTGCAGACAGGTATCTTGAGGACTTTAGGAGTAATCCTGGATGGAAGGTTAAGCAGATAAGGGACAGGGTTCCAATGATTTTGGAATTCAGGTCAGTAATTATAGAGCTTGGATGGCAAGGTGTAGAGCTAAGCTCATAATATATGGTTCAGCAAGTGAACAATATGCTAGGGTCTGGGATTATGCTAGGGCTGTGATAAAGCATAATCCTGGGTCAGGTTGTAATGTGGTGGTTGATTCTCTTGGTAATCCACATCCCCCTTTGTTTATGAGGATGTTTGTTTTCCTTAGGCCATTAAGGGATGGATTTTTAAGAGGTTGTAGGCCTATAATTGGGGTGGATGGGTGCCACCTCAAGGGTGCATACCCAGGGCAAATTCTGGTGGCTGTTTCTAAGGATGGGAACAATGCCATTTATCCTTTAGCTTGGGCTACTGTGGAAATAGAGAACAGAGAAACATGGCAATGGTTCTTAGAGTCATTGATTGAGCTACTAGGAAATGATGATGGAGTTGGATTAACCTTCGTGTCAGATAGACAGACAGAAGGTATGTGTGTCCTTGGTTGAATGTTTATGTATTACATTTACATGTCAGATTTAAGTTGGAGTTGATAACATTTTTTTTTTCATTTGTTCCTTTAATAGGGATTGGTTGAAGCTTTGAATGCAGTTGTCCCTGCAGCTGAGACAAGATTCTGTGTCAGACACATCTGGGCGCTACTACAAAAAAGGGCAAAGAAACCATTTTAAATATGCCTAAGAGACCAATAAATGTATGGTTTATATCTCAGTGGTCTCTTAGCATAAGAAACCATAATTTTTGTGTGATTAGTTAGATTGAGGTAAGAAACCATACTTTTAAGAGATATGGTTTCTTAAATGAGCTCTTGATTCGTGAATATTAAATGATAAGAAACCATATTTTTGAGATTTATGGTGTCTAACATTAAGAGATAAGATACCATATTTCTCACTAATTTGGTTTCTTATTTCTTATTATCTGGTGATTCAGGTCGTTGTTGGAAACCTTTAATATTAGATGTATGGTTTCTTTGTTCTTTTTTTTTAATTAATATTTTTTCAAATAATATAATATATATATATATATTAATAATATTAAATATCTTCATTATAAAATGAACCTGCCACGCATGCTTTATTTTCTAAAAAATGTATATACATCAAAAGTGTACTGTAGGCATAATAATAAGCATTATATAATCATTTAATATAAAAACAATGTAGTGGCTTTACAATTCATCCAAACTAACAGCATTTATCTAATAAGTACCTAATTCAAAAATTCAAACCACCAAAACTATCAACTAAAAAACGCATTGTACGTACTAACTGTTATATCAAGCAACAAAATAATCATGTTTTCTCAATCACAAATTAAAAACAAAGATAATAGTGATCAAGATCCATTTTCTCCAGACTTGTAATTGTTGACTTGTTTTTGCTTCAAAACATAAGTAACCCAAGTGTCTCGTATCTCATCATTCATTTCTTCAGAATAAGTGGTAGGAACTCGAGGAAAATACTACAAAAAAAACAAGGATTAGAATTTATATCCGCAAAATGTAAATTAAGAGTGTTGCTTTCAATGTATGAAAGGATTTACCTTTGGTGGAACTACTTGTCCTCTACTTTCAATAGTCTCTAGCATGTAACGACATACATAATATCCACATACTTTGGATCCTATAGGTTGACGAGGACACTACAATACAGAAAAAAAAAAATACAAATAAGTTAAATGTAATTGTTCATTGTTACGTAAACAATTGTAATCATACAACAAGGTCCTAAGTTTACACATTTTTTCATTGTTTGGGTGTGTACTACGTTTCATTTTACTCATAGTTTGAGTGCTAGGAAAATTAAAAAAGCTAATATAGTTTAGATATGATATGTAATGTATCACTACAGCAAGAAGATATAAATCTAGGTTCTAACTTATATCCGCGTTTCTCTAGTGATTAATTAAGATTCACTTTTGAACACATAGTTTAAGGTATTCACAATTAGCAACAAGTGGTTAATTACATACCTATGGGGTAATCCAAGCAATTCCAGGATTCTTCTTTAGTTTCTTGATATCCTTCCGATGAATTACGCTAAATTTTGTAAGTCCCCTATTAAATCATAAATATATATTAGGCATACGTAAAATGATAATGTTATAAAATAAAAATACAACTAAAATAGATAATAAAATGTACATACGCTGCTATGGTCTTTTGTGCAAATTCACTAATGTCATCTTGTCCTGCTGAATCAAGCCCCAAAACACTGTACCTTTCCACGGACTTATCGCACTTAAAGTCCAATGAAAACTGCATATTCATTCATTTTCATATGATTCCATACAAACAACAATAGGAAATATTAGCAATTAATTTAAAAAACTTTCTCTTGAATGATAAAAACATAGGTAAATCACCTACTTTTCATAAAACGGTGCAAAAAATAGTTGATTGATATTCTTGCCTCCATTGCACCCAAAAATGTTACACAAGTAGTCAGAGCGAACCTCCTCTTCTACTGTTGGGGATATATAACGGAGAAACAAAATTAACATCGCAAAATCCATACATCCCTGCCACACTCTCCTTTTGACATACTTCACTTAAGTACCTACACATAAGTATATAAAAAATTATTTTATACATGACAGTAATAAAAGTCATCATTT